CGGCCCTCGGCGCTCCCCGGCGCGCGTTGCACAACGGGGAAAGTTGCATCCATTTAGTAAATAATTACCTGTTGCGGATTTATTTTTATGACTCGGCCGAGCGTCCAGCCCGGGCGTGCGCAGGGGAGAGGCTTTCGGAGGGGAATAAATTGCCCTTTGTCGGTCGTGGAGTGAGAACAACTTTTTTTTAAAATTTCTATTTATTTTCACATGTAGAAAACTGGGGCCATCTGGAGACAGAAAACAGAGTATGGCATGAGGCACCGTTGCTGTGTCTGGCTCTAAAAATAACATCTTGTTGTTAGTCTCTGCTAATCTCGCTGGGGTTTGGACGGGGCTTGTCAGAAAGTGGAGAGCTCTGCTGGTGCCCAGGTGTGTTTCGCTTTGCGCAGGAGTGCCCCTGCGCGCCGCGGAGGGAGTCCTGCGGAACAAATGTCCTGCTGTTTGCTCTCCGCAGCCGCTCTCGTTCCCTGCTTTTGTTGCTTGCCGCTAAGCGAGGTGCCATTTCGCATCATTCTGCACAAATTGTTTGAATTAATGCAAGTGTGAATTCTTACCGTTTGAAGGAGGGGATTAGCATATCAAAGGTTTCCTAGCCCCAGCTCAATTGAGAAAACTTCAGCTTGTCTTCCATTTGCTTCCAAGCAGAGGCCCAAAGGGCAGTGGGAATTGTAAAGGGGTAAAATGGGGAGGTGGATTTGGGTTATGTTTCTGAACTTTTGCTGTTTTGCAATTATGCGAGTGAAAAGCAAGGTCTGCCCGCTGCAGAGCCCTTGCAAGCGCTCAGACAATTACACTCTATTGATTAATGGTTTGTTCCAAGAAAAAAAAGTGACCTTTTATGACAGGCTCTGTTGCGTGGTATCTGATGTCTCCTCTCTGCTAGCAGGGTTTAGAAAACCTTTTCTGCTGGACTCATGCTTTGGGTATGGCCTACACATTATTGCATTAGGGGCCTGAATAGGAAAGACCTTCTAATTACTTCAGAAAACAAATGAATCTTGTAATAAAAAACCTCTCAGTTCCAAACCTTTGAAACAAACGTACTTTTCTCCTTAATGGGTAGACTAGGATAATAGATATTTTTATGGAGAGTTTTGAAAGAAGTTTGATGACCACTAGCCATATGCTTCCCTTTCCTTTTATCCTAAAAAAAGTGAAAAGGAGTATTGTAATTTCATTTAATCAGTTATACCGAGTTTGCTAAGATAACTTAATTTGTAATTACTATTGCCTTATAATAAATAAATAAAAAATAAATGTGGCAGGACTGCTGTTTTGGTGGTAGTGCAAAATATTACTTGTGTTTTAAGTTGTTTTACATTACTGTAAATATTTGCACAGTCTTTTTATTCATTTGTTACTGTTTCCTCGCATCTGAAAGGAGATGTGGCTCGGCCTACCCTTTTATTATCTTTGCAAATCAATATTCATAATCTAGCAAACCAAAACCCCAGCAAAAACCAGTTATCTGTCAATAAGTTGGGACCTTTTCCAGGCACCAGATGCTTCTTAGGGACTGTATTCTGGTTGCTATTTCTAGCAAAAAAACCTTCCTGTGCCCCAAACCTTTTAGTTGAATGATGTAGATACTGAAATACATATTTTGTGTTTTGAAGAAGTGCATTTAAGTACCTGATCTGTAGGGGTTTGGGTGCTCTGGGCTTTTTTTTTTTTTTTTTATTCCTTCATTTGATAGTTTCTGTGGGTTCTTTATTGTTGTTATTTTTGTTTTTTAGCATGGGGATGATATGCCTTTATTGTGGGATGTCTTCACTTAATGTTTTGCTTTTACTTCCATTTAATAAAGAAACAGAGTATATATGGAGTAACTGCAAAAAACCCTGCAGTTAATTAAATAATTTATACAGATTTCTGTTAAATGGACAAGAACATTTGGGTATTTTGTAGATAGATGTTTTTATTGGTCCTAAAATTGTGTGTCATTACTTTGGGGTAATTTTCAGCAGTTTATTTACCTAATGTCATCATCTGTCTGAAGCTGTACCTTTTGGTGGTAAAAAAGGAACGTATTGATGTAATTGCCATTATCACACTTAAGATGCTGTTAACTAGTCTGCTTTGAATGCACAGCGCTGTAAAGAAAGCGCATTATCCTTTGGAGCTATTAGGGATAATCTAAAAATTGTCTTGAAAATGTTGCACTTCCGTCTATGATGGCAGCCCCAAATTCGGCAAATCTCTGAAGGTAAAGACTGTAGTGGAAAGGAGATTTTCAACATTCAGATGATAAAATGGGACCACTTAGGGAAAAATTAATGTGCTGCAGCAGCACTTCAGCTGCCATTTTCAATCACTGTGGGTTACTATGTGTTGGCAACAGCAAAAAAAATGTAGACGCTTGGATAGCTCTGGGAGCTGGTAGTTGGGGGAATCAGGATATTGAATCATGTGGGGTAGAACAAACCAATTACTTCAGGTTTTGACTTGAGAATTTCCAGTAAACATTTTTTCTGGCTTTTGGCTCCCCTGCTCATTAATAGACCAACATCAAAGCAGGCAGCCAAACTTCCAAATGTTATAAAAACTAATGTAAAGATACAGATCTCACATGTAGTCTTGCAAGTCTTAATTTAAGTCAAGCAGTTGGAGTTTTTATTGCTGCAATTTTCACAATCAGCAGAGACATTAACACCATGCTTCTGGGTGTTTCCTTCCTTAAAATGAGCAAGCGGAGAGCTTTAAAAAAAACCAAAGTTTGCTTAGTTAGTCCTTATTTGATCAGTTCAGAAGCTTTCCCATGTTTTATTTATCTCTTATTGCTTTTAATGCTTAAAGTCAGGAAAGGGGGTTACTCAGAGAGGAATTCTAATCTCTAGTAAGAAAGCATCTTATTAAAATTTAAATAAACAAGGTAGTATAGAGTCTTGGAAGTGTGTAGTTTTTATGGTTAGTAATAGGTATTAAATGATAATTATTACTGAAAATTCACATGTAGAAGTGACATTCTGATTAATATTAAACTTTTTAAAATGGTGCAGTCAGATAAAGAATAGTACAGTCACGAATTACAGCTTTTTTTTTAAAGCTGCGTAGGTTTCTCTTGTATGTTACAAAGGTAAACCTCCAGTTAGGCAAAATATTTGTCAAAGTTGTATTTGCAATATATTTTTATATGGTGAATCATAAATTCGTACAGATGATAATGCTGCTCCAATATAAAGAGCTGTGTGATATTTAGAAAAGGGTAAAAAACTGGTCACAGTTTTTTTGCTGAAGTTTGGCCTAAAAATTTTATGTATTTCCAAGCCTTTGCTCATCCTCTATTCATTGAAGATGTTGATGTGCATGTATGAATATATATATATTTTAGTACAATTTTTGGTGAGAATAGCACTGTGCCTAATACAAAAAATAATTTTACTAATAATCACTTGAAGATATTTTCATGTTAAAAATTGTTGTATGTCCTCTCTGCATTTCCGTTGAGGAATATATGTGGATGACCGCTAATACAAGAACTTGAAGAAGCGATTAATGATTTTACCAGGTGAACTGCAAAAGAAGACGTTAAAGCACGTCTGGTGTATGATGGAAATCATGTTCATGCATAGGTAGGCAAGCAGTCAGTTACAAAGCAACATACTTTAGAGCATAGGTTAGTGAAATTTATCGTCAGGCGTGCTACTTGGGGATGTCGTGTTAAACAGGACTCTTTCGAAGCGTTTTGAACGATTGATGTTGTATTTGTGATGTACAAAAGTGGTTCAAAATTGCAAGAAATTCAGCTTTTTTAAGTATTTATGCACAGCTTTAAAACTGAAAAGCTGTCTGTTATTTTTTTAAAACCCTCAGATTGAAACAAGTAAAAGATTTAAATGGCCACGGTTGTAACTGGATGTCAAGAAAATTGGAAAAACATAAAGCTATTTTAAGGCCATTCTTAATTCTCTTAACAATCATATTTAATATTTAAATAGTTTTCAAAGATAGATGCATTTGGCTTCCAACAATTCTTAAAATAAAAGTAGTAGGTGGCTCTGTTGGAATATTTGGTAACTTGTAATGTGAGTGTGTATGTGTTTTTTTTTAAAAAAAATCATTTTTATTTAATAAATGTAATAGTATTCTTTTAAGTGTTCTTCCTTTAAAAGGTGAAAGACGACAGGCTTAAAAACCTTTTCAGTAGTTATATTTTTCAACTCCTGTTTTTTTCAACCAGTAGTGTAGGAGATGTGTTTATACAGCTTAGGCTGTGAAGGGTGTATCGCTTACTGTGAGCGATTTAGTTATAGAGATGCACTTATATAATGAATGTTAAGCTCGTACAGCATTTTCTAGATACAAACTGTTAGTTTAAAATCAGAAATGGATTCCTCTAAAAAAGAAGTCTTCATTCAAATTTGAAATTGTAGCATCACCAGGTTATGAATAGCCGTATGAAGTGAGTATTTTATGGGTTGTAGAAGAATATATAATCTGCATATGTCACGATTTCCTTTTTTTTTGATTTTTCATAAGGTATTGTTGCACTGATTCAACTTATGCTAGCCTGTTATTTACCAAAATTATTTAGAAAGGCATAGTAATCAAAGCGTTGCAGACTGACTGAAGCAAATGCAATGCTTAACACCTGCAGGTAGAGTGTAGTCTCCAGCAAAATGCTATTGATTGTTATTCTGGCGTAAAACAAGCTTAAATACAGTTTGCTTAATTACAATAAAAATTTGATGTTATGAAGTAGCATACTTCACGTTTGTGGATTATTTTATGTGTCATCTGCTGGTAAGGAGGGTCCTATCACACCTCTATAAATTTGTTCAATTACCGGACACCCAAGAGGAGAGGGGAAAATCAATTTACCCTGAAAAGCACCAGAAGTAAGATTACCTTAGTTGGTAGGATCTTGCCAGGAATGTGTGAATTGCTTAATATTACCTGAAGTTGCCATATTTCATATGCAGTAAGAAGAATATTGACTGTTCTGCACGTCCAGGTCTGCTATTTGCCTATTTCTTTGTAAGGTGTAAGCATGTCTCTTTTTATTCCTGCAACAGTAGTTACAGATAAATCAAAGTATCTAACAAAAACTTTGTAAAATAGATGGAATAATACCATTCACTGGAGAAATTGTATTTACTTGAGATAAGTGATCACAACTAGTTTTTTCTCCAGACTTGCTTGTTGTTCTTGTAACAGACAAATGTAAATACCTTAGCAGACACTGCAGAGTGAAAGGCAAGAGATAAAATGTAATTACTTTTCAGGGTGGCCCTGACGATGTCCCTGTTCTTGGCTGTATTGTAAAAAAGAAATTTTGCTCATCACCTCAGAATATGAAGGCCATTGTTAGGTCTTAATTTAAAAATATTTTCTGTTTTTTTTTTTTAATGTTGACCTCACGATTTATCTTTAGCTCTTCTATGTAAGCTGGAATCCTTATATCAGGAAATTCTAGTAGCTGTTATCCAACCGAGCGTTTACTAGAGCACCTAATAGACTATGCTCCTGTATTTTTCTTGAAAGCATAACATCTTGCTTTATTCAGCCACCAAAACTAACTTTGCTACAAGGACAGGCAACATGGCAAGTTAGAATCAATGGACCATTTGTAGGTCACAAAGTCAGTTTACTGGAATTTCAGAGGAAACTAGTTGAAAAGAGAGGACAAATGTCACTTTAAATAGAGATGTTTAAATCAGACTTCTGCCTTAGGGTAAAATTCAGGTCTGTTGTAGCCTAGATGTAATGTCTCCCTCTACAGAGCACAGCATTAATCATGGCTTGACAAGTGATCATGGCCTGAGAAAAATAGGACCTGTCTTAGTTGTGTGATTATTTTTTTTCCTAATCTTAATCTCTTAGGAGTACATTTGAAAAACTAACATTTGCACAAAAAGATTTAAGTATCAATTTCTGTATTTCAGTAGTGAAAGTAGCTAGCTTCAGAGAAAATCTAGTTAGAGCTAAGAAGAAGCTACTTAGGCCTCTTAGATAGATGCAATATTAAGAATATTTTCTTTTTGAAGTAATGCATTTTTTTGTCATAGGAAATCTATCCTGTTACATTTTTATCATATACATATGATAGAGTTAGGATTTTCTGTTTTGTCCCTTGAAGTACTAAATATCTCTGAAAAGAATATCTTTTCATTTTAACAGCATTTTACAGTGCTTTCAAAGATGCTTCGTTTTGCCCAAGTGGCAATGTGGGGGAAGAAGTGGAATAGCTCTTAAGATATAACGTAGGTTGACTTGACACTGATCAGTGTATGAGAGCTTTCTATACTGTGTTTATATTTTAATGATGTATTACTTGGCCGTAATGAGCTACAAATGCTTGACTAAAATGAAAGGAAGGCAGGCAGGCTGCTGTTCAGATCCTGATTTCTGATACTGTACACATAAAAGTGCTTTTCCAGTGTCGATTCTCAATTAGGCGTGCCTCGATACATAGATTAGGTATTGGGCGTGCTCATATCTTTTATATTAAAGAAGATATATGAAGAAGGGAATTTTTATATCTTTTAAATTTTTTTTTTTTGCTTTTTTTTAAAGTGAGGCGCTGTAGAAAACAATGTTCAATATGTACTTTTTAAAAGCGGTGTATCTTTTTAATGTACAATTACATTTATGTTTGCAGCTATTTAAAAAAGTGGATGTCAGTAACGTAGCATCAGAACAATCTGTCACTGGAGAACTGCACTTTAAAAAACTGTGCAATTTCTGTTCATTTAGTTGCTTCTGGATGTGATAAAATCCCAAATATCTCATTTAGATAGACTGCTTCTTTTCTTTGTGCCCTCTGTTGATATTTTCATATCAATCAACACCTCAAACCGATTATTGCTCTGAATCTAGATGACAGGATAATCTAATGCCGATTACTGTTAAAAATTGTTTCTGGCAGCTGGGGAGGGGATGACCGACCTTGTTTCTGACTATAATGCTTGCTCTGCTGTTGATGGGATCTGGTGTAAGTAGAGAGCCCTACTCTGAAATTAGTGCTGCAGTGGTGGAGAGAGACCACATGTCAGAAGGAGATTTTATTTCACCTTTCTATTTTTTTTCCCTGACGTTATTGTATTTGTCATTTTTTATGGCATAACAGTTGACACCAGTATGAACAGTGTTCAAAAACAATTACATAGCAATAGTCAGTGTCAGTTCTAAATTAAGTGACCTTTTAGAAAGGATTCCTGAGAACAAATTCTACTTTTGACTCTGCATTTTTCTGACAAATTCTTGATTCCAGTTTTTATGGTAGGCATAATTCTTTTGTTCTGCTCCAGCCATTCATTTGGTCATTCTTCGAAGTTTTAATTTAGACTTTTTCTTCTTGAAGTCGTTGGTTTGGGAAACTTTGCACCTTTGGGTTGAACAAGCGGAATGTTCTTGAGAAGATCAGTTCATAACTATTTTGTTGGCATATTTGGCAATACGAAAGGGCACTGTCTTACATAGCTTTGACTTGCTTCAGTACAAGAGGTATTTCTTAAACGCAGACTGTTGAAGGGTGAGGCCGATTCTTGTGTAAATCAGTATAAACTGCTCTAAAGGAGAGAAGATGCCTCCGCAGTCTTGGGGTCTTCCTGGCCAGACAGCCGTGGGAGGGAAATAAAATAAGGCTGGAAGTCATTTTAGAGAGGGCGGAGGCCTGCAGGTTGTGGGAGCGGCGGAGAAATTGGGCACAAAAGCACTCGCTATGGACACGACTTGAAACTGAAAAGAAATCTGCCTATCCTTCAGGCAGTAATCTTAACCAGTGCTTAAAGAGATCTTCATCTCTACCAAACATTCACATTTTCTTACTTTCTCTGCTTCCTTGTTCTTTTCCGTATTTGAGGAGGTTTATAATAGGATCGAATAATACCTGCTTGTGGATGCAGCTGTTAAAGGTATTCCAGCAGCGAGGAAGAGCTCTGTATGCAGCCCTCGCCATCTTCAAGAGAATACCCCAAATTTGCCCTACCTTTGTCCCATGTAATGGCTACAACCTTACCTAGAATATCATTTACATATATATAATCTATATCTATATATATATTTTGAAATTCATCCTGAAAATTTAAATGGTTATATTTTTGAGTTTATTTTTCCAGTGAAAATTAAAGTCATTTAGTGCATAATCCTTTATTTTTTGACTATCCTGCATTTCTGGAAGAAAAGCAATTTACCTCCACTTGAATGAAAACTACATTGTTACTTCATAATTTGGTATAAATTACTAGAGACGTTTTTAATATTTAAGATAAGCGTACCATTCGGTTCAATTGATTTTTGAACTTTGGTGCAGTGCATATGTAATCATACCTGAAAGCAGCATAGAGTTTTATCTCCCCATAGTACATAGGATGAGGGATGCTGCCGTTTGTTTATTTTGGGGTTAGGGAGATGCATGAGATAGGATGAATTTGTTTTCTTGTTTGGGTGGTCTTTCATTTCTCTTTGGTTCTGGCAAAGCAGAGGAATGTTGTTTTTTTTTTTTCTTCCTTAAAAGCAATTAGGTGACTTGGAAAAGAAATCTGTATATTTTGATATGGGAAAGACTAAAGCCAAATGTTTACCTTTTCTGAGGGACGAGAATAGACATGTAGAGCTGGAAAAACCCCCC